AGAGCCATGAGTGACAGCATGTCCATGTGATACCAAAGGGGAGGGGGAGTGGGAAGGGATAAATTAGGAGGATGGAATTAACATACACACACTACTATATATAACAGATAACAAACAAGGACCTACTCTATAGCACAGGGAACTATACTCAATATTTTGTAATAACCTATAAGTGAAAAAAAATCTGAAAAATGAGATAGATAGATAGATAGATATAGATATATAGGAATCACTGTGCTGTACACCTGAAACTAACACAACATTGTAAATCAACTATGCTTCAATAAGAAAATATTGACATCATTCAAAAAAATATACACAGGATGTGTCATTCTTTGTGTGATTATAGGTGATTTGGATAACATGAAATAAAGGAGGGCAGTAAAAAAACCACATGGAGAGGTCTGGAAAGTGTCATTAAAATTTGGAAGGAAGAAAGGAAGACAAGAAATGTAGATATTGAGGTATTATTGTACTTTTTATAGTAACTTTTGTTTTTAATTTTAAAAATTAATTTTTATTGGAGTATAGTTGCTTTACAATATTGTGTTAGTTTCTACTATACAGCATGAATCAGCTATACATATACATATATCCCCTCTTTTTTGGATTTCCAAAAGATATTGAGGTATTATTGTACTTATTAGCCAGACACAGCCTAGAGTACTATTTTACCTAATTTTTCTCTTTGTACTTATCACTTCCTAAAACGTTAAAATAAGAAAACTGAAGATTAAAAGACTTGAGATAATTCATAGATCTCTTAAATGGCAAGACCAAAATTTATATTTCATTTGACAGTAAAGATTGTATTTTCCACCACCCTTCATTGACTTGAAAACCAAGTTTAAGATTTCTGGCTCAAAATATTAGGCATTGTATTTGCATCTAAATACACTTGAAGAAGAAAAGGGATACTACAGACAGTATTTGCTGAGAGTCAGGAAAGCAAATAGGATTGGAGCCTTGAATTAAAAAGAAAAATCTAACAACTGTTTATTATAAAGAAAGCAAATTGGCATATGGACCACAAGAAGAGAATCTGAGAGAGACTGCTATGAAGCCCATCCCTAGCTACAGGGTTTATGTCAGAGGAAAGAGCACATCAAGTTGCATTCATCCATATCTTTTTTCCCCCTTTCCACCCAGTCAGGCTCCATTAAACAATAAGTGAAAATTATCAAAGTGTATTTACAACGTACCACACCATGGACTGGTGAATTCAACTTGGCAATTTTCTGATGAAGGCATGATATGGACAGGAATGTGCAGATGCTCCTGCAAGCTGATTTATAGAGCAGTGCTGGTTTTGATCTTTGGGAAGATTAGCTGTTCTGCCTTGCTGGCTAAAGTGAGCTGCCTCAGAGATTAAATAAGGAACAGGTTTGAAAGGACTGTTTTTTCTGTCCCCTGCCATATGAATGAGTGCCTCTTAAAGATTAAAATCCACAGAGTTATACAGTTTAGGTTTCAAATTGTAATTATTTATAACATAAAATATACAGCAATGGAATAACTCTAAAATTGATAATCCTAATCTGAAGGATTAAGAAAATAGATCAATGCAAACATTAATGCATTTTAGAGGAAGTGTAGACTACATTAGAAAATAAATTCAGGAAAAGAGAAAGATAATTTGGACTCATTATCAAGGTTATTTTCAGTACATAGTCATTACCATTTATGTAATTGAAACACTTACCTTGAAAATACCTATTGATTATGTGTATATGTGTATGCAATATAGAATAGAGGACATTAACTACATGCATGTGCACACATATGCACATATACCATTTTGTCTTCATTTTTCACAAACAGCATCAAATTAATTGAGGCCATGCAGGGTGGTAAGATCCACATTGTCCTTAACCCCACAATCTATACTTGTGTTTTGGATTATGTGTGTATTCACATCATCCATCACTACCCTCACATTTGTAAACATGATATAAATTCCTACTTTATAAAGACAATAGTTCTCAATAGGCAAGGATCCCCCTGCTACCCACACCCCACACATATCCCAGCTAAATCGTTGCAAACTTATCTGCAAACATTTATTTCTCCCTCCTGTTTGATTTTGTCAAAGAAGAAGTAATATTATCGTAGGTTCTTTCTTTCCACCTGTGATCGAGATCCTAAACAGGGCCATTTCTACCTCAGAGCATCTTTTGAATTCAATTACCCTCTCTTTAGTATCCTCAGTTTCTTGTTTCTATTGACCTTTTATCCATCTGCTATAAACACACTTTCAGTCTCCCAACTTACAATTAAAATCTCCATTTTATGATGTTCTCATTTATTTGCTTTTTAAAGTTTCTCCCTGGCTTTACTATAAAGCTTCTCAAAGGGGATAGTGTTGTTTTTCCTTTTTTTCTTTTAATTTTCTCTCCCATTTCCTTGCCTCCAATTTTCTCTCCACCACACTAAATTTGTTCTTCTCTTCATTGTAGCAAATAATAAATATATATATTTCATTCAAGTATGTAAAATGGGGACCTTTTCAGACTCTGAAGAAACAGATTCCTGAGTTCAATTTTCTGTCAATCAGTTTCTACATGGATACAATTCTTTTTCTCTGTGATTCAGTTTGTTTTATTAGTGAGAATAATAATATTCCCTATATCATAATGTTTCAGTTAGATTGAAAGGAATGATAATAGGCATACCAGCTCAATAAATATTTGGGAAAAGTTCTTAAAACGCATCCTGACACAGAGGAAACACTTAACAAATGTTATCTGCTGTTACTATCTATTGTGTTGATAATGATGATGCGGATGCGGATGGAGAGCTGAAAACTGCTCGTGAGAATCACCCTGCCCCCTTTTGCCAAATCAAATGAATCTTTATAATCCTAAATTTTGTTTCAGTTCTAGAATCCTTCACATTTTTAATGACTATCTTCCTCCTGTTCAGCATCCCTTGGGAATTTTCAGTGATAGAATTCACCTCTGTTTTTTGATATTTTCTTCAAAGACTCTATTTATTTCCTGCCTTCTGCTTGTTTCTTAAATACTGGTGTTCCTTAGTGTTCAAGACTCATCTTTCAGAAAGAGTTATTCATCTGCTTACCTGGATTTACCTTAGTGAAGAAGCCATCCAAGGAATGAAAAGCAGACAATCCTCACTTCATTTTTTAATCCATAGTATATCCATTAATTACTCTAATGTTTATTGAATGCCTACGCAATGTCAGAAAACATTCTAGACATTGGGAATGCAGTGATGAGTTAAAAAATAGTATTGTCCTTGTGTAGTTTATATTAACAATTAATTAGAAATACTGACATGAAATGAGACCTTATCACTTCCTGCTTAGATAGCTTCAATGGCTCTTCATTGGGTAAAATTTAACAAGGCCCTGTGTGCTCACCTATGCACTAACTCCCTCACTCTCTGCTCCAGGATCAATGAAGTTATTTAGGTCCTTACTGTACCATGTTCTACTCCATTCAGGTTCTTGTTGTGTTTTCTTTCCTCTTCCTGTAATGCTCTTTACCTAACTACCTCCTAAGTTTCTTTCAGTTCTCTGTTCAATCACTGCTATCAGACAGCACCAAACACCCTAGATTTTGTTTTCCCAACAGCACTGTATAACTCTCCTTCAGAGAATAGTTTTATTACCTATCTAAGAATGCATGTGATATGTGATTGGTATCTCTCCACTTCCATAGATTGGAAGCCCTATGCAAGAAGACAGTGACTTTTGTTCTGCTCAGGCTCTCATGACTCTTGTAGAGCACAGTTATGGGCACATAAGAGACACTCAAAGCTCACATATTTGTTAAATGAAGACATGGAAGTTGACTATTTTTATTAACACATTTTTGATCCAAGTTTGACAATCTCAGAAAGTTGAAAACGAGATACTTTAGGCGAAGAATCAATATTTTATATAGACCAGTGATGACTACTTCTTAAGTACTTACACACTTTAAGCTCTACTTTGTAGGCCCCTTTTGTAACATACAAAAGGCATATTAATCCTCAATTTTAAATCAATATAAAATTGTGATTATTAGAAGAATAAATGAGATTTTACACAGTGTGAAAAGTGTGTACAAAACACACAAATAGATGATTAGATAGATAGCTAGATGATAGATGAAAGATAGCTAGATTCAGATTGATAAATAGATGATTGATAGAAAGATAGATTGATTGGTTCACTTCGATATTACAGTAACACATCAGAATAAAATTTCTCAGCCTGTGTTCTGAACATATTACACAGTAGAATCATCTGCAGTACTTGTTAAAAAGGCCAATTCTTTACCCCCACTCCATCCTTTCTGAATCAAAATATGGAGGGAAGGGCCTAGGGACCTAAATGTTACTAGATTTGCAAGCTGAAGTTGTTAAACATTTAAAGACTGAGACATACTGCATTAGGAATTACATTTAAATCCTTCTTTGCTAATTGCCTGTGTTCCACTTCATTTTTACAAGGACATGAGCATTATTGTCTCTTAAAAGCAAAAAGCTATAGATTTAGTCCGACGACAAATTCTTAGGAATAAAATAAATGGAGAAGAAGGTTAATGGCTTCACTAAAAGATCCATGACCGTCAAGCAAACTCATCTCCTAAATATTGTTAGCCAACATGATGAAGTTTTTTACATTAGTTAGAAGGTCTCTTAATGCTACTTTGATTAGTACAGCATAGAGTAATGACATTAATAGAACAGGCATTCATGATAAATATGTTATCTGAAAACAAAGATGGGGCAACAATTCATAGTGCATTCTATATCCAATCTTCCCACCCTACTAAAATACATTTCTTAAGAGAGGATTTAAACAATTAGACATAATCATACTTAAAATGTAATTACATATTAAAGAGGAAATATTTGATCATTTTAATGACATGACAATATACATTATTCATACTTCTGTCAAATTTCCATTCGTGGAAAAATGAATGAATTGCCTAAATCACTAACAGTATATATATATATATATATATATATATATATATATATATATATATTTTTTTTCTCTCTGGTCTCTTTGTCAGTGGAGATAGAGAATATCCCAACACCGTCACCATTAATGATGGAGTATATCATGTCCGCATTTGAACCAGTGTCTGCATCATTTGCCTTGATTTTCCCAACAGCTGAACCAACTTGGGCTGACTCAGGAACATACAGCTGATAGTGCTCTGAAAAATATTTCATATTAAACTTATTTAATAATAATAATGTTCATAAAATAATGATCTTATAAGAAAGAGACATTAAAATATTTAGACCATACATCTATTTATGCTTACATCTCTTTCACAAATGTTCACATTTCCCTATAGACACTTATGAATTAGACATTAAGCATAATGGCCATGTTGTTACCAATTGTTTTATTGTCAAGTTAGAATCATATCTATTACAGCAAGTTATTTATATAGCAAATCTCAAATAACTATATAAATAACAAATTTTTATTTAAAATGTAATTTTATAAAGATTTTCAACCATGATTAAATTAATGGTGATTTAACATTATACATAAATACAATTAGACTACATGGATAAGTGAATATAAAACATCTATAAAAATAACTTCTCTGAGGTAATAATTGTTTAGTTGTGGTATGATAATAAGTTTTTTTTTTTTTTTTTAGGTTAGTGCCTCTGGTAAGTGTATGGAATATTCTAATTTGCTTCTAAAAGTACAATTGTATGTTTTAAAGTGCTATATGTTGCTACTGAACATCGACGTGTGTGTGTGTGTGTGTGTGTGTGTGTTTATTCATTATTCAACAGAGATATTTCCCAGTTCTCTTCTATAAATATATTTACACTACTTGACTTCAAATGTTATTTTTTAGTTCAACATCCCTCACCAACATAACATTTCATGGGTAGAACACTTTCTTCTGTGAAACACATGATCCCCTGAGCTGAATCACGTGCTTTTATCAGGATCTGTCATATTGCTAAAGGCTCTATCCCTCCTGAGAAAGCTAATTGACCTGGGAAGAGCATGAAGCCCACGTTTTTACAGGACTCCACCTTTCCCTTCACAGTTGAAGGGTAAAAGGATAGGTAGCTGATTCACAATGATTCACAAAAAGAGTATGCTCCCCGAAGTATTCAAACTGGAACTAGGAAAGAACGTCAGTCCCTTTTTGATGGCAAGGCTGTGAAACACTAAAAAGGGTTTCTGACAATGGCCATATTTCCAAAATTCATGTTGAAATAACTAATCTAAGGGCCATAATAATTTTTAGAATCCTTAAAAATATTATGATGTTCCTAGGCAGTTACATACAAAATAGAACACTGTTCTGATGAAAAAATATATAGAAATGTTGCAAAATAAATTAGAACATGTCACCTAAAACTTTTTGAGGTAGTCTAGGAAGTCAAGCTCCTGGTTTTTAAAGTCTATAATTTCCAGCTAAACTATATAACTTCCCATAATTCAGTAAGCCTCACAAAGGACTTTCAACTAGCTAAAACTAGGACGATGACACTTGTAAAAAAAAACAAAAAAAAAGTCAGCACACAGAGATAAATAAGTAAATCACAGAACTATTATGATAGTAGTATTACAAAGCACATTGTTTCCACAAAGAAAGTTGCAAAAATCTGTACCAGTGGGTCATAAAGATTCATGGCCCAGAAAACATTTTGGTAGAGTCTTACAAGAGGAAGCATATCCCTGGAAGAAAAGAAGATCAAGTGCAAAGGAAGAATTGATACTTGTTGATACACCAAGTACTACAAGTATAGTAACTTTTCCCCTTGCCCCATTAGACAAAATGGAGTATACTAAGATTAATACTTTAACATTTTATACACTTTCTATATAGTTGAGAATTTATGAATTGTAAACTGTGAAAAAACATTTAGTATTCAGTCTCTAAGGTGGCTCCTGATGTTTTCTACTTTTTGATATTCATACCCTTAAGTAATTCCTTTTCCTCAAATGTTGGGTAGGTATAGTGACTCACTTCTAATAAATTGAACATAGCAAAATTAATGAGGTGTCACTTTCAAGATTAGGTTATGAAAGGACCATGGCTTCTATCATGGGTACTCTTTCTCACTTTCCCTTAGATTGTTTCCCTGGGGGAATCCAGCTACCAGGTTGTATTGAAGCCCTACCTAGTGGACCATATGACAAGTGACTGAAAACTGACAACAATCGTGTTAGTGAGCTGGAAGCAAAAAACATCGCTGCCTCTCCCTAGGCAAGCCTTTGAATAAGACCATAACCTCTGCTGCTGCCTACACTGGGATCTCATGAACCTGAACCCGAGGGCCCCAGAGAAGTCAAACCTAGATTCCTGATCTCCAGAAATAGTGAGATAATAAATATTAGTTGTTTTAAGCTGCTAAATTGAATTGATTTGCAATACAGCAATAGATAATCCATATACAACTGCACTGTAGTTGTCAGTGATTTGCAAAATACAAAGGAGCATTTTAGTTCTTGTCATCCTGTTCGCTTTACATAATGTTTGGGGAAATTAAAACCAAAGCCATAACAAAACAAAAATCCAAACAAACAAATAAAAATCATGATAAACATTTATTCTTGGAATAATGTATTTTAATGTATTTTAATCTCCACATCTTATTTTATAAAGAAATAAATTATTGCTGTTACGGCCAATGCCCAAGATGAACCACTTGTCATATTCAAATTCTCAGCTCATCCTCCTAGAGGATACCATACCATCCAGTAATCACGCTCCTTGGTTTTTACCCAAAGGACCTGAAAATTTCTTTTGACATAAAAATCTACACAAGACTATTATAGCAGCTTTATTTATCATGGCCAAAACTTGGAAGCCACCAAGATGTTCTTCAGTTGGTGAATAGACAAATAAACTGTGGCACATCTACACAAGGAAACATTATTGTTAAAAAGAAAAAGAAATGAGCTACCAAGGCACGTAAAGACATGGAGAAACAATAAGTGCACATTACTAAATGAAAGAGGTCAATCTGAAAAGGCTACATACTCTATGATTCCAATTATATGACATTCTGGAAAAACAAAACTATGGAGCCAATAAAAATATCAGTGGTTTCCAGGGGTGGGGTGGGGAGAAATGAATAGTTAGAACAAAAAGGATGTTCAAGACAGTGAAAATATTCTGTGTGATACTATAATGGTGGTCATTCTACATTATACATTTGTCCACACCCATAAAATATATAATACCAAGAGTAAACCCTAAGTTAAACTATGGACTTTAGGTGATTATTATGTGTCAGTATAAGTTCATCCTTGGTTAAAAAAAGAAAGTACAATTTTGGTGATTGATGTTGACAATGGGGGATGTTATTTAAGTGCAGGGGCAGAAGATACATGGGGAACCTCTGCATCTCCTTCCCAATTTTGTTGTAAATCTAAAACTCCTCTTAAAAAAAAAAAGCCTTATAAAAGAGGATTATATTTTAGAAATAATAATTAGACATGAATGTAAGATGCTATTATACAACTCAAAAGGATAATTCTAAGTATAGTGGATATCCTAAAAAGTGTATAATGAAGACTATAAAATGCCCAAACTAATTCAAACTATTCAAATGTATAATACCAAAGTATTCAAAATGAAATGTCTACTAATCACTACAAAATAGCTGATAGATAATATATATTTATAAATCAAGAGAGGTTTAGAATATTTTTGCAGAATGTCCAAGGACTGAATGAATAGCCAGATACTTAAAATTGCTCTAAATTCTAGGAGAATAACTACAGTGAGTCTCTTTTTTTAGATAGCTTTATTGAGGTACACTTGATATACAAAGAATTGTATATATTTAATGTGTACAATTTCATGAGTTTGGACAAATGCAAACACTGGCAATATCATCACCAAAATCAAGGTGATAAATACATCAATGCTTTCCAAAGTTTCTTTGCATGTTTTTGTTTTATTTTGTTTTTTGTTTGTTTGTTTGTTTGTTTGTTTGTTTTTTAGATGTTGGGGGTAGGAGTTTATTAATTAATTTATTTATTTTGCTGTGTTGGGTCTTCGTTTCTGGGTGAGGGCTTTCTCTAGTTATGGCAAGCTGGGTCCACTCTTCATCACAGTGCGCGGGCCTCTCACTATCACGGCCTCTCTTGTTGTGGGGCACAGGCTCCAGACGCGTAGGCTCAGTAGTTGTGGCTCACAGGTCTAGTTGCTCCATGGCACGTGGGATCTTCCCAGACCAGGGCTCGAACCCGTGTCCCCTGCATTAACAGGCAGACTCTCAACCACTGCGCCACCAGGGAAGCCCTTATTTTGTTTTTTGTGGTAAAAATATTTAACGTGAGATCAACCTTATTAACATATTTGGATGTGCACAACACTGCATTGTTAACTATAGTCATTATGTGGTACAGCAGGGCTCTAGAATTTAATCTTCTAGCATAACTGAATTTTTACAACCATTGAACAACAATTCCCCATTTCCTCTATTCTCTTTGCTCTTTACAACCACTATTGAATTATATGCTTCTGCAAGTTTGACTATTTTGTAAACCTCATATAGGTGGAATCATACAGTACTTGTCCTTCTGTGACTGACTTGTTTTACTTAGAATAATGTTCTCCAGGTTCACGCATGTCACATATAGTAGAATTCTATTCTTTTTCAGGGTTGAATAATATTCCATTATTATTGAATATATACCAAAACAAACTAGGTATAGAAGGAAGATACCTCAAAATAATAAAAGCATATATGATAAGCTCGGAGCTAATAGCACTCAATGTTAAAAAAATAAAAAGTTTTCTTCAAAGATCCAGAAGAAGACAAGGAGCCCATTCTCACCTACTTCTATTCAACATTGTACTGGAAGTTCTAGCCAAATAAATAAAGAAGAAAAAGTAAAAGGAATACAATGAGAAAGGAAGAAGTAGAATTATCTCTGTTTGCAGATGACATGATCTTATAGGTAGAAAATCCTAGAGACTCCATAAGACAAAAACAAAACCAAATAAACAAATAAAAAACCCTGTTAGAATGAAGAAACAGATTCAGTAAAATTGGCAGTTTGCAAAATCAACACAGAAAAATCAGTTGTGTTGCTATACACTAATGATGAACAATCCATAAAGGAAATTCAGAAAACAATCCTATTTACAATAGCATTGAAAAGAATACAATACTTAGGAATAAACTTAAGGAGATAAAATCACTGTGTACTGAAAAC